AAGCAGCCATCTAAGATCCATCAATTCGTTCCAACCACCTGGAGTAAAGGGGAATGAAGAAAACCAAAGACACAAGCAAAGTATTAGCCCAAGAGACAGAAAGGGCCACATAAACCAGAGACTGCATCAGCCTGAGACCAGAAGAACTAGATGGTGCCCGGCTACCACCAATGACCACCCTGACAGGAGCACAACAGAGTCCTGCATGGAGCAGGAGAAAGGTGGGGTGCAGAACTCAAATTTTAGTAAGAAGACCAGACTTAATGGTCTGACTGAGACTGGAGGAACCCTGGAAAGCATGGCTCCTGGATTCTCTATCAGCCCAGAACTAAAACAATTTCCAAGGCCAACTCTTCAGACAGGGACTAGGCTGGACTGTGGGATATAAAGTGATACTCGTGAGGAGAGTGCCTCTTAGCTCAAGTAGATACAAGAGACTAAACGGACAGCTTGTGTCCAGAGGTGAGGTGGGAAGGCAGAGAGGGTTAGGAGCTGGTTGAAGGGACATGGGGAATCAGGGGTGAAAAGGAGGAGTGTGCTGTCACAGTATGGGGAGAACAATTAGAGTCACATAACTATGTGTGTATAAATTTTTGTATGGGAATAAATAAAAAGAAAATTACAGCCTTGGAAACCCTATGGGGCAGTTCTACTCTGTCCTATATAGTCAGAATCAACTCTAGGGCAACGGGTTTAATCTTTACAGAAGCTACATCTAGGTCTTTTCTCCCATGAAGCCACTGGGTGGGTATGAATCCAATTTTTTGTTTAGCAGTGGAGTGCTTCACGGTTGGGCTACCAGGCCTCCTTCCCTTTAATATAGCACCAGGGAAAAAAAGGCTACTTATTCATTTACTTTATTTCAAATAACAAATTGAGGAAAATAATGTAATAAAAAATACAGGTAGTTCCAGACTTATGATGGGGTTCTGTTCCCTCCATTCTGTGGTAAGTCCATGTTGACTAAGTCAAATACCTCTTTTTTTTTTTTTAAGTTTTCATTATTATTGCCTTTTATTATCAGTATATCAGTATACTGATAATATCAGTATATTACCAGTATAAATCTGATCTTTGAACGTCTTTGAGTGAACATCTGAGAATGATAGCATCAGCAAATTACACACTGTAACAACTGTATGTATGTAGTACAAATTATTATTAACAATAACATGTAAAAAAAAACAAATACAAAAACCTGACGGTGATAAGTGAACTTCTTTGTAACTCCAATATGTGGTAAATCCGGGACTACTTGTACCTAGTTAACAAAGTAAGAAATAAACAGGGTTTTCTACAGTGGGGTTCCCCACACCCTACTTATGCCACTGCACCGCGCTGCATAATTTGGGAACATCCATGTGAACTTATGTTAACTACTTGGTATTTGGTTTGTTTTGATAACATTTCAGTCAAATTAATTTTTGACACATAGCGAATTTGGCGTTCCGTTAATACCTAGGGCCCCTATCGGTCACCTGTACAGCACACTCCTTAATCCTGCACTGGAGTCAAATGGCGGGCTATTTGCAGTGATCCTTGCCGCTCCAGTATGATCTCTTCCCCCATCATACAGTTGTTTTTTCCATGGGTGAGTTCAACAAATGGGTGAAAAATGGTGTTATTCACCAACATGTGGAATTCTGGAAGAGTAGCTTGGGGAGTGGAGGGTGTGATTGAAGAAGAGCTAAAGCAACATCTGGAGACTGCCCAGCCCCCATAGGAGCAAACATCATCAATCATCAGCACTAGAGAACCTGGAGTGTGTGGAGCCAAATGCCATGAGACCATCTGCTGCCATTGGAGGGCACACTGCAAGCTGTTGTGCCAAGGGAACAGGCACCTGTCCTGGTTGCTGTTTGGTATGGCTTCCTAGTGGCAAGTCTCAGCATATTGCCAATTGACCTTTCAGTAGGAGGGCTGCCCATCTGTGCCCCGAGCTTTGCTCCACCCATCTAAATCAATCCAGGCAGACAACATCCTTTTTTTTTTTTTTTTGCCTTCGTCCCCCTTTTTATTAGTATTATAATTATTGGAAACCCTGGTGGCGTAGTGGTTAAGAGCTATAGCTGCTAACCAAAAGGTCAGCAGTTCGAATCCACCAGGCACTCCTTGGAAACCCTATGGGGCAGTCCTACTCTGTCCTGTATGGTCACTATGAGTCGGAATCAACTCGACAGCAAAGGGTTTGGGTTTTGGTTTCTTAATTATTATTATTATTGGACAACCTCCTTTCTAATGTTCCAGCCACCAAGTACAAAAACAGAATGGATCCTGAGCTCCAGAGAGGTGGTGATAGGATGGAAGAGAAACGGATGGCATAAGATCATGATGAGTCAGAGCCAACCGGCGGGCACCTAATAACAAAAACAACAACAAACGGAGGAGAGTTCAAAGGGGTCATTTACAAAAGGTGAACAAAGTTAAGCCCAACATGGGGTGGTGCAGAAATCCAGGGCTAACAATATTTGGAAGCTATTACCACCCCTAGAAGCAGGCTTCCTGAGAGACACAGCCAAGTCACCGCCCAGCACAGAGGGAGCTGGGGGAATAAACAGCCAGAACCTGACTCTCCTGATGTCCTGCCAAGTCTGATCACTTGCCCAAGGCTCAGAGCAGGGTTGAGAAGAATTCAGAATGAATATGGAAGGGGAACTGGAAAATAATCCAGTACACACAAAAACAAAATAAGAAATGCTTGTTAATGTCTAATTTACCCCCTAATTTCCATTTGAAAGAATATTCTTAGGTGACTTTTGGTTTCAAGGCAGGGTAAAAATGAGCATTCAGAACCACCCATAGCAGAGAGATGAATTTTGTTTGAAAACAAAATTTTTCCCATCATAAAGGACCTTGAGCAGGTTCTCTGATTTTGGGGTCTTGCTGGATGGTTTTCAATATGATAATTAGGTGGTTAGCATGGATAGCGCCCAGACTGGTTTCATCAGTTGCTCGCAAAGCTCCAGGAGCAGTCACTAAAGTCCTGCACAGCTGGAAGCTCAACCAACTTCTGCTAATACCTGATTTCTCTGAGTGCCAGAGCAGGGAACCTGGAGAAATGAGATTTTTTTACTCCCCCAGTAAGAGGTCTATTCTTGCAGACTATTTCCTGAGTGCTTTAGCTCCGATCTAATTGGGGCAGTTTGCTTGGTATGAGCCCTAGGCAGTACTTCCCAAACTTTAATGCGTATATTAATATAAACCACATGGGGATCTGGCTAAACTGCAGGTTCTAATTTAAGAGGTCTGGGGAGAGGCAGGCAGGGAGCTGTTAAGAAGGGCATTCCTTCTCCCCTGTGGCCTCCTCCAAGAAATGGAACCCAAGATATTTTCGCCCCCAGCAGTGGACGTAGGTGGTGATCTTTAATATGTTGTTGCTAGGTGCCGTACAGTCAATTTCAACTCATAGCGACTCCATGTGACAGAGTAGAATGCCCCATAGGGATTCCTAGGCTGTAATCTTTACAGA